CTTTAAACATCTTCGACCATGTCTAGACAAGAAGCTAAAACCAGAAACAGCAATTGAATATTTTTCCTCGAACAAAAATGAGCAATTGACAAGGAACTTACTCAATTAAACAACCATAATTTGAAAATGGCACTGTTGTTCGGACGATGATTGGGGAAAGCGAACAACTAGCTGAACTTTCTGCTTCTGCCGCTCGTCGTCGTCGTCGCCATTGCTGTTTTCATCGCCATCACCGTCGCTGCCGTCGACGGATAAGGGAAGGGAATAATCGTAATTGAGATTGGGTTCAGGTTCCGGCGAGTGGATCGACGGGAGGAAAGAGCGGTTAGGATTTTGTTGCGTATGAACAGAGAATTGGGGTTTTGTGCTCTGTTGATCGTTTCAGTGATGTGTTTTTTTCTTGTTTTTATGTTTCCAGTCAGGACTTTACGTCTTTAGGGTATTTAATAAATGCTAGTTTGCATTTTAAAGAAAACAAAACAATTTTTAATGGGATACTATAAAGTGACTAATTTATGCTATGTTTGAATACATTTTTAAGTGTCCTATTAAATAATCTAATAGAGTACAAAACTTAAGTAAACACTTAATAATTATGTATTATTATGTTAAAGACACTTACTCAAATTTTTATGAGACTCTTTTCTTAAAAAATGTCCTATCATATGATGATGTGTCCCAAAGAAAGGGTATTAATAGACCTTTTTGTTGTAGTGAATGGAAGGTAATTCACATTGATACCGGGCCATAGATCCGTCTCTGGTATAATTCAAATGCTAAACACCTTTTTTACCACAAACGAGCTCATCAACACAAGACCGAACAAAAATCACCCTACATTTCTCAATCCTCATTAATCTGGCTAAGAATAAATGAAATACAGCTATACCATTATTCTTCCGTTTTCATAAAAAAAAAAAAAAGGAAGGTATATCTTCTTCCCTTCCCTCTAATTGTGTAAAAGTTGAGTGCTAGATGAAGGGTGTCTATACTGGAATATAGCAGATCTTTGGAGCCTCAAAGAAGTACTTGCGTTAACTAGCTGCTCATCCATTGGTATGGAAATCCTTCTAATTAGTGTCTAAGTCCTGCTGGATTATTGTGTATGCGGACTGGTGCCTCTGGCCAAGATACTACATATATCAAGTACAAGATGCCGGGTATACTAGAACCGTAGTTTGATCTACGATGACATCATTTGGTCCAACCACGAGAAAGATCATCGGAATTTCTTTCGTAATAGTTTAAAACCAATGGACATCTGCATCTCGCTCCTGCCTCACTTAATGTATGATCATGAGAGCCTTCGCAGGCTAACGGATACAGAGTTGTTTCCGCGAAAGTACTCCAACGTCCCATTGTAATATCCGGCCATCAGAACCACCCCTGTTAGCACTTATATTGGTGAAGCAGAGAGCGTTTCTCATTCAGGGGCTAGCACATACATACCCATTTTAGTGCGCCATCTACAAAAGTCCGTGAGGCTATATAGCAAGGAACTCAAGGGAGCTTTAAGCACACTAAACCAAACCAGGATATATTCAAAGCAAAGATGAATTTCCGTAATTTCAGTTGAAGGAAGGTTGTTAGCAAACAGCTTTTGGGGAAAAGAGTGATCTCCATTTTGTGTTCGGGAACACCGAAACATCTTCAGATCTCTTGAAGGAATGATGGAAGACAACGGCAGATAGAATTCCTTTTTGGCCGCTTTGTGAGCAGCATAAATCAAATCCAGAGCGATTTCATTTTGTAAGTAGGAAATTGACGGTTTAAAGATGAAAAACAACCATTTAATAGAAAACCATGTGGAGGAATAAGGGGTAAAAAATGGATCGGTGTGTTAAAGATGGATTGAGCAATCTGATATTTCGAAGATCAGAGAAAAATGAGGGGCGGGGGCTGTATGGATATTAATAAGAATCAAGTTTTGAAACCTTGAACCTAGAGTGAAGTAGGAAAGCAGACCCCCAGGAAGCTGTGATTTTGGTAATCTATAAAGGAATGCCACGCCAATTCCATACGAAATTTTCAAAAATAATACTAATAGTAATACGAAATAACTAGTGACGGAAAAGATTAAACAACATGACAAGCACATGGTCCAGATGGTGAAAGAACATGACAAATCTAATTATGACCAAGGTTTTTACTTTACCAACCTTAATTAAGATCAACCAGCAACACTGATTGCATGTATGCCTTAATTTTTTAACTAAACAATTAGGAATCAAATGGAAAGCAGCACATATCCATAACGTGACCACGAAATCCAACTTTTACGTGATTCGAGTTTGTTTTCCGCCTTTTGGACCAAAATACCTAGGAAGCTATTTAGTGTATATAAGAACCAAAATAAACAACAGTCTTCATTTTAATTTGGCGATTGGAGGAAGCATAGCTTTGGAGGAGAAACTTGGCAAGACTTTTAACCAAAAGAAGGGACTAATGTACACTTGATCTCATTGTATGCAAAACCTTCGTACTCTCCAATAAGAAGCACTTTATGCTGCTAAGCGCAGATAATTGTTAGCAGCCTGATGGCGGCTAGAATAAAATAAATAAGTATATTAGGGTTTCATTTTATGGGTATTTTAGTAATTTTAGTTTAGTTGATTAGGGCTGATTTTACGTCTTTATTTTCGATTTAAAGAGATTAGTCGTCATTGTAAAGTTCGGTTGTTTTTTATTAATGAAAAATGAGATTTTATTCTCTAACCTAATTCGTTTGGTCTATTTGTTCGTGATCAAATTAGTAGACTAGTTTATCTTGTTCCATGTGTTGGTGATTTAAACTATTGTTGATTTTAAGTTTTTCTTTAATTCAACTAACTAAAAATTCGTAAATCTAGATCACTGGCGATTGATTTAGGCTCTCGCCTGCATCACAACCACATTATTTTTTTTCTTATCGAAAGCGAAACTTTTAGAGCTAAATGGTACCTGGCATTATTTTATCCGTCCGCGGCACTCCGACACAATTAGTGTGATAAAGAAGAAAAATGTGCCCCCTCGTGTCTATGTAAAATGGATTATTTTGTCCGAAATTTTCTTCATAAGCTTTAACACCTAATAAGGGAACATGGAAAAAAAAAATTTATTCCAAGGATTAACTTAAGTACTTGATTGTGTGGATAAGATATGTGACCTGGAGAATGAAATTGGTTTCAATTGAGCAATTGATCAACGACTATTACATGACTTAAATAGAAGAACCTACAACTAGAATAACACCAAATGAGATAATATCAAATACAAGATAATATCAAATGAGATAATATCAAATACAAGATAATAACTACACAATATCACAACTAACTAGATAATTATTACATGGGATCATTATCACATTGACACGCCCTCTCAAACCGATGACGGAGAAGGTAGAAGTCTCAGTTTGCCCAAGAATTAGAGGTGAACCACGATATAGCGGCAACTGCAAGCGAACATGAGCAGAAACAGAAGCATAAGAAGGAGACTGATGGAGGCGCTAAAAAGAGAAGCGGCACGACCGGAGGGAGGCTAACAACGGCCCAAGAATGCAGCAGTGACCGAGAGACGTTAATGGCAGCGCAAGAATGCAGCACGACCGGAGGAAGATTGACGGCAGTGCAAGAATGGAGCACTGAGCGAAAGATGACTAATGGCGGCGCAAAAATGCAGTATGACCAAAAGATGAGTTATAGAGAAGAGACGGTGATGTTGCTTTGTTGTGGTCGGGGGTTATGTTGTGATTATGTGTTTTATTATGGACTCAATCGGCAAATGAAAAAATTATAGGACCTACTTGCACAAAAGAAAATCTAGAGGAGCTGATTTGAAAATTTTGCAAAAAAAGACGGACTAAAAAAAAAAATAGGAGCTACTGCTCATCAATTACCAACACTAGTGTTAAGTAGGACCTATTAAATGATTTAATCTGGATCCTGAAAGGAACACATTAGATATCTTAGTACTTACAAAGAAATACTCAGGAAAACCCAAAAAATGAAATAGTTTCTGTCTTAAAATCTTCAAGAGTAAAGCTATACTACTTTCCGGTTGAGTTGCTTCTTCAATGTTATGAAGAATTAATTGGTCTTATGCTTTATCGTTCTCCTGATCTTTCATAAAACACCAAAGCATAAGATCATATATTTTGATGAGCTATTTCTTGAACAGATTATGGCTAAATAAACTGTATTGTGTCGAATCAAGAAATAGAAAGAAGCTAAATCCCTGTGACCAAGAATATACCGATGTCATCGTGTTTAAGGTGTAGTCAATAACATGTTCAATACACATGGGCACAGCGGAAAAACAAAAACAATGTACACAAATTCTGAAGCCCTCTTATGATGAAACTAATTTTAGACATTAAACTTGATTCTATCTAAGATAAGAGCTATATGTGCATCATTCTGCATTGTTCTCTTCGCTGCTTCACTAAAACAAATCTTGTTTCTATCTAGAATCCTCGTTAGATCCCGTTCAGTCTTATCAGCTATGGCCACTATCTTAGCCATCAAAGCTCGTTAGATCTTCGACAACAGAGGCAATCCCAACGTCGAGGTTGATTGTCATCTTTCTAATGGTTTGTGTGTGAGAGCTGCTGTTCTAGTGTTGCTTCCACTGGTATCTATGAGGCTCTTGAACTAAGAGATGGAGGCTCTAACTATCTTGGAAAAGGTGTTTTTAAGGCTGTTAACAATGTCAACTGTATTGTTGCCCCTGCACTTATTGGCAAGGACCCCACCGACCAAATTGCTATTGACAACTTAATGGTTCAGCAACTTGATGGTACTCAGAATGAGTCGGGTTGGTGCAAGCAAAAACTTGGTGCCAATGCCATCCCCGCGGTGTCCCTTGCCGTATGAAACCCTGGTGCTGCAGTGAAGAACATTCCGCTTTACAAGCACATTGCTAACTTGGCTGGTAACAAGAAGTTGGTCTTACCAGTGCCAGCTCTCGATGTTACCAATGGAGGTTCACATGCAGGAAACAAACTTGCCATGTAGGACTTCATGATTCTTCCTGTTGGAGCTTCTTCATTCAAGGAGGCTATGAAGATGGGAGTTGAAGTTAATCACAACTTGAAGAGTGTGATTAAGAAGAAGTATGGACAAGATGCAACTAATGTTGGTGAAGAGGGTGGTTTTGCTCCTAACATCCAGGAGAACAAGGAAGGTCTTGAATTGCTTAAGACTGCAATTGCTAAAGCTGGTTATACTGGCAGAGTAGTTATTGGTATGGATGTTGCTGCTTCTGAGTTTTATGGTTCAGACAAGACTTATGATTTGAACTTCAAAGAAGAGAACAATGATGGCTCACAGAGGATCTCAGGGGATCAGCTCAAAGATCTTTACAAGTCATTTGTGTCTGAGTACCCTATTGTTTCAATTGAAGATCCCTTTGACCAAGATGACTTGTAGCACTATGCCAAGATGACCAATGAACTTGGTAAACAAGTACAAATTGTTGGGGATGACCTCTTGGCTACCAATCCTAAGAGAGTTGAGAAGGCTATCAAGGAGAATACTTGCAATGCTCTACTTCTGAAGGTTAACCAAATTGGCTCTGTGACTGAGAGTATTGAAGCTGTAAGAATGTCTATGAAGGCTGGTTGGGGTGTCATGGCCAGCCACTGCAGTCGTGAAACTGAAGATACCTTCATTTCCGATCTCTCTGTGGGTTTGGCAACAGGTTGAATCAAGACTCGAGCTCCATGCCGATCAGAGCGGTTTGCCACGTATAACCAGCTTTTGAGAATTGAAGAGGAGCTTGGAGCCGATGCCATTTATGCTGGAGCAATCTTTAGAGCACCAGTTGAGCCATACTAGATGACAAGCCGTCGTCAGAACTAGTCAAATAAATTCACCTACTTAACACTAGTATAGCGGAAAATAGGGTCGTACCCACAGAGAAGGAATACTAATTACCAGGTATAAATTACTCCTATTATTATCCAGATAAATGATGATCTCAGATTTATAAAATTTAAAACTAAAATAAATAAATAAAATAAAATAAAATAATACTAATTCAAATAATAAGACAAAGAAAACCTAGGACATTGGGTTCACCTACCGAATACTTGGATTAGTTCAATTCACAAATATCTGACTTTTGACTTCCATTAATCTCACAACGATTCACCTAATTAAGAATTACACACTTTCGCGCTATAATTCTCTTACTTAGATTAACCCTATGACTACTCTCGTGACTATAGGATTAACAAAAGCACATTAAGAACTTAAAAATCTAATATTGCAAAGGTTGTGTTCCTACTGTCGTGGTTCACTACCTAAGTCCAATATTCCCATGAACTAATATTAATTCTCAACTGTCGTTCCATCAATTAATATCTTTAAACATTCAAGTAGTGGTCAGTTACAAACATGGAATAAAAGCAAGAATATTAAATATTGATCAATGGAAAAATCAAAGTATCATGAATCAAATAAATCAAATAAATCCAGCGGTTACATCCAAGCTAGGTTAAAATAATTTAGCCACTAAACATTATAAAAAATAATTCAACAATACTTAGAGACATAATCCTAAAAATCTGAGTTAAATAATTAAAACAAAAACACCCAGATGAAGGCAAGAGCCGCCGAAAAACTCCAGTTGCTACTTATTGATGATGCGTGCAAGAGATTGGTGGGGGACTTGAGCTTCTTCGCTGATGATGATGATTAAAGTGCTGATGATGATAGGAGTGGTGTGCTGCGGCAAGAAGGAAAGAAGGTGGTCTCGGCGGTGGAGGTGCGTGGTGATGAACTGGAAGCAAGGTGTTGAGCTGGTGTTGCGTGAGGTCAAGGAGGAGAAGCTGCTGCTGCTTCGGTTGGGTTTGTTGAAGTTCGGTGGTGCGTGGGAGTGGAGAATGATGAAGATGAAGCAGTGTGGGGTTTTTTTTGCAGAGAAGAGGGGGCTGCCGGTTTGAAGTGGTGAGGAAGGAGGCAAGGTGGTGAATCGGCGGAGGAGGGGAAGGAGAAAGGCGGTGATGGTGATGATGATGTGTGTAAGGAGGAGAGGAGAAAGCTGCCACCGGTGGTTTTGCGTGGGAATGGAGGAGAAGCAAGGTGGTGAAGGAGGATTTTTTTCAGCCGTGGTGCGTGGGAGTGGAGGAGAGGTGTTGCAGCAGCAGCAAGGTGGAGCGGCGGGGACTCTGTGAAAGTGAAAGACGTAGGGTTTTTTTCGGTGTTATTCGGTCAAGTTCCTGTCTAAAAATAAAACCCTAATCCTCCTTCTATAGGCTTCCGTCAAATCCTTCTACTAGGAGAGGAAGAAAACTTGTTTTTCCAAATAATATTGGAATTAAAATTCTTTCCAAATTCAACCCCAACACAGCCGCATAAGCTTGTTTCGGCCAAACCCTACGAAAAAAAATTGCAATTCAGTCCTCTAAATCTTCAAGTCTTCAATTTCTTCCTTGTCAATTAAACAAATCTTCAATTCTCCCCTTTAAGTTGTTTTTATCTTCATTTTAGCCCAAAATTTCAACAATTCCTCCTTTTGAGTATAAAACCTATAAATAAAGATAAAATCATATAAATAGTATATTTGTACTCAAAATATATTACAAAAATCACAAATTAGGATATAATAAATAGGTAAAATATAAGCATATCAAAAACCCCACACTTGAATTATTGCTTGTCCTCAAGCAGTCCTAAGAATTAAAACAAACAAACGCATTCCTCAATATCATATTACACAAAGACCTCGACTATTTCTAATATGCACTAGCTAACAAAATGCAAACCATATGCACTTTTAGCGCCCAAGCTTGTGTGTGTGTGCGATTCGTTTCTCAGGGACATCACTTTACATTTAACATAGAAAACAAAAGCTCTACTGCAAATATGCTATTTTACTTTAAAGACAGACTCACATTTCATACCATATTTCAATGCAATGGACCACCAGACATGCTATGAAATAGAAGGACTTATCTCACAGACAACGTATTCCCCCTCGTAACCCATTCTTCGGTCCATGCGGCTTTTCTTCAGGACTCTTCTCAACTCATGCCACTACCCAGAGCATTTTTCAACTCCTATACATAGTGGCTCAGCAACTTAGGGCAGTCTATATATCTATTTTTCCTCACCGGGCCTGAGGACTCTCCGCTCAGGTTGCCAATTCCTCACCTCTCAATGGGCTAGCATCTTGAATGCTCTTCCTGTTCTCCCTCATTAAATTTAACCTAACCTCAGAAGCATCCGCCAACACCCCTCCCCCAAACTTACTTAACACAAAGTGTCAAAGCAATAAGGTTTTTTAAGGCTGATATTGGGTTAATGCCTTGCTTTTCCTTCACAACATGATGGGTTCCACATACAAATAATATACGTATGAGTGAATCAAACACAACTTTTCATGGAATATCTACATCAAACTCATGCAACTATGTCTCACTTTAGACTTATCCCACAGTCACGACTAAGTGCATAAAAAGCAGGGTATTCAAAGAAACATATAGAAATACATAAGTTAAACAATACAATTCAAAATAGTCTAATTCTTACATGTTATAGATAATTAACCATGTTCATCCTAGGCCTTTTTGGATTTTTCAATTTTTTTCAACTTTTATGGGTTTTTTTGTATTTAAGAAAGATAAACACAAAACACAATACAAAACACAAATATTCCTCTCCCCCACACTTAAAGCATACATTGCCCTCAATGTATAAAACACAAAAGACAAGCAACCAAGTGAAAAGAAAAGAAAAGACAAATTAAAAGAATGAAAAGAAACGACACAACCTTGGGAATGTAAAACAGAGGACCGGAATTATTGAATAATCTGTTGCAACTGCCATCCAAGCACACGACCAACTTCTTCAGACTTTTGGATGTTTCATTTTCAGCACCATTGGATACCAGAGTTCCGCCCTTCCAGCAAACCTAATTGCAAAGTAAAGTAAATTAGAAAAAACAAACTCAAAAAAATAGATGATTAAGAAAAACCATGAAAATCCAGAAGTCAAAGATCTCCAGATAATCAGGAACAAAAAACTTAACCTTCAACTTATTAATAAAAGAAAACAAAAATAAAGCAAAATAAAGAATTGGGTTGCCTCCCGATAAGCGCTTCTTTAAATTCATGAGCCGGACTATGTGGCCAATTAATTAGGTGGAAGCTCAATCAAAGAGTGTGAAACTCTTTTATACATAATTCTTCTTCCATAGAGAAACTCCTTAGATCACTCAATTTTGGAGGCAGCTTCTTCTGAATAACAGCACTACACTCCTCAGATAATGCAATTGTCTCAAAGTCTTCCACTTTCCTTCGGTTGGAGACGATCTCCTTCAAGAACTTCCCATAAGCAGGAATCTGAGCTAAAGCATCTGCAAAAGGAATGTTAATATGTAATTGCCTAAAAATTTTCAAAAATTTCTCAAACAACCTATCTTGCTTGGTCATATGGAGTCTCTGTGGAAAAGACACTGGTGGAACATAAGGTTTAAGCGGTGGTGGCACATATATCTTTTCTTCCTCTTGTTCCACTTTCTCCACTTTTTCTTCATCACTCTCTTTACTCTCTTCTTTGTTCTCATCAGTGGTCACATTCACTTCAGTGGTCTTTGGTTCCTCCTTGTCACCCAACTGCTTCCCACTTCTCAACATGATAGCACTACAATTTTCACGAGGGTTGATTTCAGACATGCTTGGCAGTTGACCTTGCCCACGAGTATTCATGGCGGAGGCCATTTGACTCACTTACATCTCCAAGGTTCTATGAGCAGTACTCAATTGATCTAACCTTGCTTCTATTCTGTTAGACCGTTTATTGTTTTCACTCAACAATTTCTCCATTCTCTCCAAACTTGCCTCCGTTGCTGACTTAGGTGCAGATTAGTATGACTTTGCTTGGAAACCAGGAGGGTTTTGAGGTCTTGCATTAAAGTCTTGAGCCCCTTGATTATTCCAAGAAAAGTTTAGATGATTTCGCCACCCAGGATTGTATGTGTTGGAGTACGGATTGTTCTGTTGCTGAGGCTTGCTGAAATTAGAGACATATTGTGCACTTGCCAGTTGCATACATTCAGTGCTCAAATGAGGGCCTCTACAGAACTCACAGACAGTGGCATGGAAGACTGCATTAGCATTTACAAGATTACCGATCACCTTGGTCAGTGCATCTATCTTTGCGTTCATGGCACTAAGTTCATTGACTTTATACATTCCAGCAGGCTTCTTGGAAACACTTCTCGAGTTCGACCATTGATTCCTATTCTTTTCCATAATTTGAAACAATTCATAGGCTTCATCAATTGACTTGTCCATCAATGAACCTCCAACTGCAACATCCACATTGTTTCTTGCAAAGTCCATCAATCCTTGATAGAAAGTCTCAACAAGAGTACTTTTCTCAATACCATGGTAAGGATATCTTCTTTGCGATTCCTTGAATCT